TTGAGGAACCTGGGTTAAACTTAGGCATGTTATCTAAATTACAGTTTTTGTTTTGGGTCTCCAGAACACTGAGTCAACAGGGACATGTTAACTGGAGCCCTCTGACCTCGGGATAACTGTGCTGTCTTTCCCAGGTAAAGGAAAACATGCTAAGACCAGTATGAGACAACCCATGGGATATTCACATTACAATCAATAGGGTATTTAATCGAATGGTATAATTTATATACTTCAGAAAATCAAAATAACTTTTCTATTATTTTAGCAAACAAATAAGTACAGAAACCAAACAGCAGGGTTAAACTTAAACTATAGATTCTACCTGAGATGATTGCTACCATACTTCAAATGTATAATTTTAAAACAATTAAAAACATGTCTTTCCTATAAATATGTAATAAACATGTGCAACATATTTATTTGGTATAATAATGAGTTAAAAAAATTTTTAATGTATTGATTTTAGAGAGAGGGAGTGAGACATAGAGAGAGAAACATCACTTTGTTGTTATACTTATTGGTTCATTCATTGGTTGGTTCTTGTATGTGCCCTGATCAGGGATTGGTATACCAGGACAATGCTCTAACCAACTGAGCTACCCAGCAAGGGCTTAGTGAATAGCTTTGTACCCTGTCTTGTTGGTTCTTACATTAATATTGAGAGGGTTAACTTGAAACACAGGCAGATAAGGGAAGGGTTCAGTGGGAAACAAAGGCAGGTGGAACATAGGCAGGGGCAGACATGGCAGTTTGAGCCAGCCTAACCATTGGAACCAACCAAGCAGAAATAATAAATGTTCCTGGACTCAAAGCCGGAGGCATGGAAAAACAAGGGAGGGCCTGTAGTAACAAGATGTACGAACACACAGAAATAGAAAACTTTCAGCACAGGAACAGAGAAAGAACACATAGAACAGGGAAAGTTCAGGTCCACTGCTTGGCAAAAACAACTGAAGGAATCAATCAGGTGATGACACAGGTAGACATAGAGCAGGCTTGTAGCAAAGATATACCCCTGGACTACAAGGCTTTAAGGGGTGGCCCACTATTGGGTCCCTCTCCTCTGTGGGAGTCTGAATCTGCTTGTAATACATTTTCCACACTTTTGCTTAAATCTTCTGGCCCACGGAGCTCACTCTTCGGTGTCAGGAGACACGACCCCGGGGAAAAAACCTCAGCTCACCATTCGGGTTATCAATATGAGTTAATAAATCTTCGATGCATTATATATTTGTATGACAGTCATGATTTTAAGTTTTTGAAGATTTGATAATTAAATGTCAACAAAAAATGTAAACTAATTTAAAACACTGAATTTATGATGGTTTTGTGACATTATGTGTTCTCTCAATCCAAGGAGAGTAAAATTAAAATTATTACCATGTATTTTCTCAATAACAAGATACTTTAACTACTATTATTAACCTGCAGGGTTTGTTGATACTGATTACTTTGAAAAGAAATCTATATTTTGTTCTTGCCAAAGCATTAGGCCACTTGCCGTTTAGAAGCCATGAACTGTGACACTTGTCTTTTTTCATAATTGTGTTTCCCTTGTGTGAAACAGCTTTTCCAGCTTCTTGAATTAACAACAACAGCTACCATTCTATTGTAGCTGTGATTCTCTAAGTATTTTATTTTCATCAGCTTGGTTAATCCTCAAAACAACC